CCCAATGTTGGACTTTCCCCATTAGACCAGGTATGTGCAACTAGGGTCATGGACCTTCACCATCGGGCTGGGGTTAGAGAGACTGGGGCCATGGAATCTGAAATACAGCCCCAAGTGCCAAAGTCTCTGATGTGAAGACAAGACAGTGAGACTCATCAGTTTGCATATGCATAAAGTAGTTTACATATAAAGTAGATTAGGCTAATAAATTAGCTGTATATTAAAGTGCTTGTGACTTCTTGTAATTGTTTTGATCAGACCTTGAAGAACCCATTAGGTACTTTCAATAGAAGCTTAAGGTGAGGAGTAAGTGGTTTAGAGGGGAGCTAAGGATATTTTGTTCACCCAGACTGTGTTTGACATATGGAAATAGGCTGACTGAGAGGGTGGTGCAGGTGTGTACTCCCACACCATTTAAGAAGCATGTGGACAAACACTTAAAATGCCAGGGCTTAGTAGGAGATAACAAGGTGTAGAGCTGGATGAACACAGCAGGCCAAACAGCATCAGAGGAGCAGGAAGGCTGACGTTTCTTCAGAAGGGTCTAGGCCCGAAATGTCAGCTCATCCAGCTCTACATCTTGTTATCTCAGATTCTCCAGCATCTGCAGTTCCTACTATCTCAGGGCATAGTAGGACATGTGCAAGAAATGGGATTACGAGAGCTTGGTGTTTGTTGGCCCACTATGGCTATGCTGACCAAAGGGCCTGTTTCTATACTGTATGACTCTGTAATGAATACCAAGCTAAGCAAACTAGAGATGCGCGTGATATGTAATTGCAAACAGCACATGGAGGTAGATTTAAACAAAGCTCTTTATAATCAGAAACTGATTATCTTGTCACATTCAACCACTATTCTGACTGCTGCATGTTACACCAGCTGATGTCAATGGCTACCAAGCAAGACTGTAGAATTTCCTGAAAACACACTATCGTATTCCAGACCTTTCAGTGTAAAGTATGGCTCCAACTCAAATAAATACCGAAAGAACTGCGGATGTTGTAAATCAGGAACAAAAACAAAAGTTGTTGGAAGCTCAGCATCTGTGAAGAAAAAAAAAATCAGACTTAATGTTTCGGGTCTGGTGACCCTTCCTCAGAACTGATGGTAGTTGGGAAAATGTCAGTTTATATGCAGAAAAGAGAGAGGAGGATGGGGTAGGAATAAACAATAGGATAGAGCTTGAAGAGAGAGAAGAGCATGGACGTGCAATCCCTTTACACGTCCATCCCCCACAGGGAGGTCTCAGGGCTCTCTGCTTCTTCCTGGAGCAAAGACTGAACAGTCCCCACCCATCACCACCCTCGTCCACTTGGCTGAGCTTGTCCTCACCTTCAACAACTTCTCTTTTAACTGCTTTCATTTTCTTCAGGTAAGAAGGGTAGCCATGGGTACCAGCATGGGCCCCAGTTATGCCTGTCCCTTAGTGGGGTACGTGGAACATTCCTTTTCCAGTCCTATTCCAGCCCCCACCCACAACTCTTTCTCCAATATATTAATTATATCATCACTACTGCTTCCCTTTCATCCAGAATTGGAGAAGTTCATTGATGTTGCTTCCAATTTCCACCCTGCCCTCACTTTCACCTGGTCTATCTCTGACTAACCCCTTCCTTGACATCTCTATTTCCATTTCTGGGAATAGACTGGCCAATAACTCCCATAGCTACCTGGACTATACATCCTCACACCCTGCCCCATTCTCAGAGTTCCTCTGTCTCCTTCACATATGTTCAGATGAGGCCAATTTCGATAAGGGAGCCTCTGAAATGTTCACCTTCTTCTTCAACCAAGGATTCCCCTGTACTGTTGTTGACAGGGCCCTCAACTAGGTCGGACCCATCTTCCGCACCTCCATCCTTCTGCCCTCACCTGTTCTCTTCCCTCCCGCAACAGTGATAGGGCTCCCCTTGTCTTTACCTACCATCCCACCAGCATCCACATCCAGAAGATCATCAGCCACCATTTCCACCACCTCCGGCGAGATGCCATCACCAGACATATTCCCCTCCCCTCCCTTGTCCGCCTTCTGCAGGACACACTGGTCCACTCCTGCTTCACCCCCAACAAGCCCCCCCACAGCCCCACAGCACCTTCCGCTGCAACTGGTGAAGGTGCAACACCTGCCCATTTACCTCCTCCTGCCACACGATCCAAGGGCCCAAACATTCACCTGCACTTCCCACAATCTAATCTACAGCATTCGCTGCTCACAATGGGGTTTCCTCTACATTGGGGAAACCAAGTGCAGACTGAGTGACCGCTTCACAGAACATCTACATTCTGCTTGCAAAAAAAAAAAAAAAAAAAAAAAAAAAAGACCCTGAACTACCTGTTGCCTGCCACTTTAATGCACCACCCTGTACCCTGGCCAACATCTGTCTCAGGCTTGCTGCAGTGTTCCAGTGAAGCTCAACGCAAGTTGGAAG